TTTGCTGTTGTAGCTCAGATAACCTTCCTCAAGTCCAGGAGCGTCTAGGTTGCGGGAGTGTCGAGGTAAGTCTCTTTCCCCAGACCTCCCCGAAACGTGAGAGCTGTTTCCACAGGAAACAGTCACTCTGCTGCAGTAAACCCACCCTGGATCCAGGGTAAGTGTTTGCCACCACCCAGTCTGCAGTAAACCCGCCCTGGATCCAGGGTAAGTGTTTGCCACCCCACAGTCAGCTCCTTCAGTACCGAGTGTTCTCAGTATGCAAGGAACATTAAATATTAGTCTTTCTGTTAAACACTGTAAAGTTTCTGTTTCTGACAAGGAATTTAATTCTTTTTTTGTCCCCTACCTGGTAAAACTTTTGTTTACACAGAGGCCAGGCTGCATTCTTGGATCTTGAGATGCCTGCCCATTCTTCCTTTCACTTCCTTTGTGCCAGTTCTTTTCAAACTAAGCAACCGTGAAAGGCTGAGGTTGGGGCTGGGGGGGGGGGGGGGGGGGAGGACACGGTTCTCCTGCATTAAGATAAAAGCTCCTGGGTTTCTCACTCTGTGGGTTTGTTCTGCTCCTGTGAGCTGCTTGCCCTTATACTTCAAGCTTTGCCTTGTCAAGATGCTTTTGTTGGATTGGTAGTGCTGTCTTCTGAACCCTGCACTGACTTCTAACAGATGGAAAAGGGAAACCTGCTACTGTGTTTGCTAATCTCTCAGTTCGTGGATCCAACTGGGGAGAATGAACGACCAGCAGCGAGAAATCACAGTGGGCTCAATGGTCAGTGCTAGGTTGTTACACAGGAAGGAGCAAAGGGGATGCTCCAAGCAGAAAGGGATGCTGATGTGCCCTCGGATACTGTGGAACCAATCTCGTTCCTCAGAAGTTGAGGCATCAAGGCCCTAAGTACCAGGAAAGGTGAAAGGAAAGGAAAGAGTTCAGGACAAAGGGAAAGAAAAAATGAAGAAAGAAAAGAAAGGAAAACCAGAAAAAAATACGAACCATATGACAGAGTAGGGGCTGGGCAGATAGATCCCTGAAAGACAGATAAGAAAAGGGACCCCTGATAGATAGCAAAGATAGCAAGTGTCCAACTTCATCCTCACTTCTCTGTAAAGTCCCCCAAGAGCCTTTTCCTCCCACAAGCTGGGAGCTTGTGTCTGACTGGGCCAGGTGGGACAGATTCGTTCAACGTGGGTCCTAAGAATGCCCCTGAAGTTGTTAGTAACAGTTCTCTAGAGGAACAGAACCAGCGGGACACACACACACACACACCTGTTTAAAAAGTCGCAGCTCACTCACACCCAAGAGCTGAGAATCCAGCCGTTACTCAGTCCTCAAGCATGCAGAGCACTCCACAGCGGTGTCTCTCACCGAGATGGGAAAGAGTAACAACCAACAATCGCTCAGTCCACAAGACCTCAGCAATCCCAGTCTGGTGCTAAAAGTTCAGAAGATTCCTGGGGAGCAGCTGGTCCCTAGGCCACTAGGAAAGCCTGGAAAATCTGATTCCTATAGCCGTGAAGGAAGCAACAGCCACAGCTACTGGGCAAATTAACTCAGCGGGGGAAAGGACAGGCTGGTCGAGCAGACAGCAAGAGCTGCTTTTGACCACTTCTCTCTTATCTCAGGTGCGACCAAAAGGTGCCACACCCAATTGGGAAGAGTCTTACACATCCATCAGGGCGGTCAGCACACTTCCTCCAGACAGGCTCTGTGTTCAAGTGATTCTAATTCCTGGCAAGTCGACATTAAATAGAACCATAATGGAGGATAAGCCTTCGAAGGTCACCAAAGCCACTTAGAATCCCAGACCTCCATAGGAAAATGGACCGGCCCCCTCTCTGCTCTTCAGGAAAGTTTTCTTTCTGTGCCCCTCCCCTTTTAATAAAGTTTGTTTTTGCCTATGGCCATCTGCTGTGTCTGGGATTTTTATGTCAACATAACACAAATTTTCAGATCCTGGAGATCTGAATTTGAGCCTTCACACTTGGGCATCAAGTACTCCCCAGTAGCCCTTCTCCCCAGGCCCTAAAGACAAACATTGTAAAGAGAGAATCAGCAGATGCTATCTGTCTGTGGTTGACGGAGGAAGAGTTTTGAGGGTTTGTTTTGTTTTTTATTTTTCTCTGGGACTAGAGAGACGCATCAGTGGTTAAGATGCTTCTCTCGGAGAAGACCTGAGTCTGGTTTACAACATCTACCTCCAGTGCCTTACCACCACCAGAAACTCCAGCTTCTGGGGATCCAGCACCTTCTGGCCTCCACAGGCACCCCCCACACATACATCATAAAAATTTAAGTCATTAAAATGTATATTACTCGTGTGTGTGTCTGACATGTATGTGTGAGTGTGTTGTATGCATGGCGTGACATGATGCATACAAAAACCGGAGGACAATGTAGTATCATGAGTTCCTTCCACCTTTGGGATAGTTTCCAGGGATCAGTCAGGTCACTAGGCCTGAGGGCACGGTCTCTTCCTTACCTGCTGGATTAGCCATTTTTCTGTGGCTATGATAATAGACCACAACCAGAAACAACTTACAGAGGAGGGGCTTTATTGTGACTGTGTTCTAGAGAGAGAGAGTCCATAAAGGTGGGGAAATATGGCTGCAGGTAGCTAGAGCAGGAAGCCGAGAGACCGCAAGTCCGACCACATTCAGAAGGCAGAATAATCAAATTGGAATTTGAACGAGGTTATCAACTCTCTGAGACTGTTCCAGCAGTGTGCTTCCTCCTGAAAAACTCCATTACCTGGAGGTTCCCCACCTCACCAAGCAGCACCACAACTGGGAGCTAAACGTTCAAATGTGTGAACCGAAGGGACACTCTCACTCAAACCTCCACACCCACTGCCGAGCCACACCCACTGCCGAGCCACACCTACTGTTGACCACTCCCACTGCTGAACCACACCCACTGCTGAACCACACCTACTGCTGGACCACACCCACTTCTGGACAAAACCTGCTGCTGAGCCACACCCACCATTGAGCCACACCCACTGCTAAGCCACACCCACTGCTGAGTCGCACCAACTTCTGTTTTAGTCAGGGTTGCTTGTTGGAACACTGTGAGGCTTCATTTGGTTTACATTTCCACATGACTGTTCATCGTTACTGAAGGAAGTCAGGACAGGAACTAGAACAGGCCAGGAACCTGGAGGCAAGAGCTGATGCAGAGGCCATGAAGCCGTGCTGCTTACTGGCTTGCTGAACTTATTTTCTTATAGAACCCAAGACCACCAGCCCAGGGGTGGCCCTTCCCACAATGCACTAAGTCCTCCCACATCAATCTAATCATTAACTAAGAAGATGAGCTAAAGGTTTGCCTGCAGCCTGGTCTTATATAGGCATTTCTCAATGGAGGCTCCCTCTTCTCTGGTGACTCTAGCCTGTGTCAGCTTGACATGAAACCAGCCACTGCAACATCCCAGCAAAGATTAGTTTTGATCAGGCTGTGTTTATGGCTTGTGCACAAACAACAGTCTAATATCTGCCTTGTTTGTTTTTCTTTTTCTTTCTTTTTTTTGGTTTTTCGAGACAGGGTTTCTCTGTGGTTTTGGAGCCTGTCCTGGAACTAGCTCTTGTAGACCAGGCTGGTCTCGAACTCACAGAGATCCGCCTGCCTCTGCCTCCCGAGTGCTGGGATTAAAGGCATGCGCCACCACCGCCCGGCTCTGCCTTGTTTTTATAACAGATTTATTTTTATTATTTTTGACTATGTGAAGGCATGTGTCTGCATGTGGTTACGTCACAAAGTGCAGGTGCCCTTGGAGGCGAAGGGTGTTGGATGACCTAGAGCTGGTCATAGACGGTTGTAAACCCCCTGATATGGGTTCTGGAAACAGCTTGGGTGCTCTGAGGAGTGGCAAGTGTCCTTACCTACAGAGCCTTTTCTCTGGCTCCCCTACTATTTGTTTTGTGTTAGAAAACTTCTACAGTCAGGGAGAACAAATGACTGGAATACTTTTCATGTATGTTTTATCAAGGTCAAAATAAAAATCCTAAACCAAAGGATAAGAAAGGAAAAAAAACAATAAAAAACTATACAAACTTCCTGGACCAACTATTATGAGCCAGAGACATTGCAATATTATTTGAGCCAACTTGGTAGTTTTCTGCTCCCTTCTGCCCTGATTTCCCGTTCACTGGCCAAATCAAGACTTGTGTTTACCCTAGCACACAGGCCTATCCACATGCATGTAGGTGCACACATGAAATGAGCCCAAGTGTAAGGTTCTAGTCATACTTCAGATAACAGGTCACTACACTACTCATACTAACACACAGTACAAACTCTGCATGCATACTGTGGATATCTATGACACACAGTGGAATAACGATTTATTTGTGGAGGATCATTCAGTTTGGATAGGCATAAAGATGATAACATCAGAAAAAAGAAAAAGAAAAACCTGCATGAGTCCAAAGAAGATGCATTTGACTTGGCTGTCCCGTGTCCGACCACAGGCTCCTGTGCTGATGACTTCTTTGCTGGGTCATGAAGGTTGTAACTTACTTTGGCGATGGAGCCATCCATTGATGAATTCACAGCTGAGTGGGTCTGAGGGTCCAGCTGGAGGAGGTAGGCCACTGCAGCGACGACTGTCACCTCTTGTCCCCACACCCTCCCCCTGCTTCTCTTTCTACTTCCCGGGCTCCTCCACATTTTCCCACCATGATCCTCACTTTTCCCCAAGGACAACAGAACAGCAGACTACACACGGAAAGCCCTGAGACTCGGAGGCAAATAGTTCCTCCTGAATGATTTCTCTTTGTCCCAGCGACAGAAGCCGTGCGAGCCGAGTCAGGGCAATGTGAATGGAAGTAGGTAGACAAGGGAGGAACGGTGTTGTGGGCAGAGAGCAGCATAGCATGATCATAAAACGAGAATCAGCGTGGTGGGGAGACACTGACATTCAGTCAAGTGGAGCAGCAGCGGGTACTGTAAGTAGGGGCTGACTGGAGAACGCTAACAGCTCTCCCAGAGAGCCGGGAGACTTTCTAGGCTAAGATGGGCTCCATCAACATCATGTCCTCTATGCCATCAACATACCCATCTGCGTTACAATGGAACTGAACATAGTTGTAGTTTCTTATCTCTGTATATTTCTTTTTGAATTTCTCCCAATAGCAATAGAGTACCTTAACGGGAGTCTGAGTCCAGACATAGGAGTTTTTGTAGCGATATTTCCAATTGCCGCTAATACATGTGTGCTCAACTTTGTACCATGGCATATAAACAAATATGTGTAAGCTCTTGGGTTTCAGGCCTTTCTCTGTCATGAGGGCATCGCAGCTGTATAAAAAGAATCCTTTGTCTGTATTTAGGTGATGTTGATCCAAGAACTCCCGCCTGGAGGAGCTCTGTGCACATGGGCTGAGCTGCAGGCACAGCAGGGGAGCAAGCACACCCCAGGCCTTCAGAGAGGATGCCATGGCAGGCACCTGGGCCACCTACGTGGGCACAGAGAAGAGAGAAGAAAATACTGAAATACTAACCTGTAGGCTGTATTCATGTAACACAATTTTGTTTTCCTGGAGATATCCTTCATTAGATAGTAAAGTTAATTGCAAATTTAAAAAGTATGTTGCAGACTGAGTGAGCCAAGAATAAAACTGCAAAAGAAGATGGAATTTATTCTGAAAACTCGAAGTTCCTCTTAAATGCCCTGGCTTCTCCGCAACGGGCTCTTGCTAACTCCTCAGCACGCACACGGCAGTCTAAAGACCAACCAGGGAGAGCACTGCTTGGGAGTCTCTGCCAAGCAGGAAAGTTCTGGGTCCCTGCAGTTGTAGCCCAGGTTGCCTGTCACACCGATTGCACCCCAATGCTTCTCCTATCTTGACCCCTTCCAGCATTTCCCCCCAAACCTAACGGAAATGCGACCCCATTACAAACTCTCATATTTTCTCAGGAACTTGATGTCTTTGTTTCTTCCAAACCCCAAGATTTGTCAGAGGTACCTGCTGAGCACGTCTAAAGGAACAGAGTGTCTGAGAGTGTTGTTTCAATTCTCCAAATGCCAAGACTAGCTTCACAGAAGTGACTCTGGACAGAAGGTAGGCTCCCGTGTGTGGAAGGACTTCCGCTTAAACAGCGTGCCCTCATTATGTGAATGTACCTGGCCCTACTGAATCTTTCGTCTGACTCATAGCCTTGACCACATATGGGCCTGTGAGCCAACAGAAATGCTTTGGTAGACTGTATGAGGGTGGGGTAGGGTAGGAGCCACATCTGTGGGGTTAATGCTGAGCTGAGTTTGAGGTCTTGTGTTCTCTGATTTGGGTCAGTTTTCATCCTTAACCCTAAAATGTCAGTCAATCTCTTTCCTATGATGCCTGGCCTTTCAATCAAGCTTCCTATACACCAGTCCTCACTCACCTCGTCAGCACACACGTTGCTGGTTGAGGTGGGTACAGAGAGATGGGGATCTGAAGAGCAGAGTCTCCGTTCTTTCTGGAGATCCCAAGAAGTCCACAGTGGTAGAAAAAAAGGAATGGCAATAGAAAGTATAGCTGGATTTGCGGAGGTGGTGGCATCTGGCAGGGCCAGGAACATTTTTTTATGCAAGCCTGTTCTTGTGTCTTCTCATGTGGAACACTTGGGTTCGCCCTGAGAATAGCCGTAAGCAAGGTCTGCAAACATCAAAGAAGGATGCCCAGGCGGAAAGGAATTTCAAAACATTGGAGAGCGATAACTCCAGACGGGGGTTGAGGGTAGACAACCAGAAAACTGGCCCTGAAACTTGCTTCCCAACAGACTTTCTAGGGAAAGCCCACGAATGGCTAGGCCATATTATGTAGGGAGTTTGGCCATGTCACATAGCCAAAAGTACGATCTGTAGGCAGGTGGAGATAAAGGAACGTGCTTTCTATTGATAATGCAAGGACAGCTAGTAGCTCAGCTGCACTGATGGAGCTTCTTTTCAGTTGTTCTGGCATGAAAATGTCTGCCTACAGCAGTTTACAGTTAGAACTTATTTCCAAAGCCAGGTGTTGGGAGGTATGTTGGGGATCTTAGGAGGCCCAGTTGTTTCAGGCCAGCCTCTGTACCAACAAGGAAACCTGGTCACGAGACAAAGGAAATCCACCACCTGGTGTCTGCAGGATCCTGCATCGACAGGCTGGGGCAGGGGATTGGCTCGAACTACATCCCACACATCCTCCTCTTCTCCAGCTATTCGAGGGACCCCAGGGAGAAACTGAGTTTAGATAACTTAGAGATTAATATGAGGAAAAACAAAGTGGCAATCATATGCACAGCTGTCTGGAGCCCTTTCTAGCAAGTCCCACAAACTATTCAAAACTTCAATGCAAGTAGTGACTTGATGGATATAGAGAAGAGGGAAGGACCTGCTGAGAGGTGGCAGAAGAAGGAAGGAAGGAAAGAGGGAGGGAGGGATGAGGGAGGGAGTGAGAGAGGGAGGGAGGGAGTGAGAGAGGGAGGGAGGAAGGAAGGAAGGACGGAGGGAGAGAGGGTGGGAGGAAGGAGAGAGGGAGGGAGGAAGGAAGGAGGGAAGGAGGGAGAGAGGGAGGAAGGGAGGGAAGGAAGGAAGAAAGAATGAAAGAAAGGAAGAAAGGAAGGAGGGAGGGAGGGAGGGAGGGAGGGGAGAGGGAGGAAGAATTCTTCTTTTTGGTGGTGCTGGGAGTTGCACCTAAGACCTCGAGCACGCTGGGGTGATGCTCTAGTACAGACTTGCTTCCCCAGCCCAAGGCATAAGTCTTTGAAGGCATCTGTCTTAGAGTGTAGCACAGGCTTCAGCAAGTTGCTCTGCGAATTCTAAGAATGTGTGAGCGTGAAATGAAAGCCTGTTCCAGTGCCTGTCGTCCATATCAGGATCACATGCCTTCTGCCTCCTAGTCAATCCAATGTTCGTCAAATAAAGAATAACCCGCTTTTAATGTGGAAAATGTCTTCTACACATACATCCACAAATCCTACTCTGAAGTGAAGCTGGTGTTACAAGGGCCACTTGGATACACAGCCATGTTAGGAAGCAAAGCAGGCCAGATGGGAGAGCAGTACCCCTGTCTAAATGTGAAGCTACTGCTGTGGCTCAGAAGTTACAGCGACCCTTAGTTCTGGAAACTTCTTACAGGGTCTCTCTCTCTCTCTCTCTCTCTCTCTCTCTCTCTCTCTCTCGACAGGGTTTCTCTGTGTAGCTCTGACTGTCCTGGAACTCACTGAGATCCACCTGCCTCTGCCTTGTCAGAAAGGCTTCTGCCAGGAGACACGGAGAGGAGTTTGTTACATAGAGAACAAAAAAAAGGCAGGCTGTTCAGGAGGGCGTGCATGAGCTCTTCTTTACCAGACTCCATCTGCCTGAGGCTTGGACAAGTGGCTCCATTTAGTCTGACTGACCATATCCACTTTGATAAGCCCCTTCTCTGGTGTCCTCTTCAGTCAGGCCATGGTGGACATGGTCTAGTTTAACTAATCCCACAGTCGAGGAGAAAGTCTTCAATAACTATGATTCAAATTCAAAAACAGAAAATGGAAACAAACAAAAGTAGCTTCTGGTCACATCTGAGTATTGGGGACTAGAACTGGAAAACGGTGGATAAGACAGGATGGAGTTTATTACTAAATTCTGCTCTCTGAACAGCGGTTCATCGAAAGGATGCACCGACTGCACCAGCGATCCTGAAATCAGAATTTGGTTCACAATGCCTGGCATAATAAACTTGTTCAAACCTTCCAGTCTGTAAACCCTGCTGCATTTGGACAGTCAGTTGTCTGGGAAGTCAGAGGGAAATCTGTCTGGCTCATAAGTGTATTTCCTGGCAAACCAGAGTAAAACCATTCCAAAGTCTGGTCCTCTCCTTCCATTCAGGTCATCGGGCTTGTCTCTGAGACTCACCTCTGACTTCATCGTTTCTTGGTGCGAATGGGAGGTAAGTACACTAACACACACCAAGGCCCCCTAGTCTTGCCTTCTTCCTGACCACTGTGGATAATGTGTTAACTGAAAGGCTAGCAGGTGTACAGCTGCACTACTTAGGTTTGTGGGAAGTTTCCTCTGCAGAATGAAGAACAATGGTACAGACAAAGAATGAGGGGGAATTGGACTAGCTGATCTCGGTAGAGGGTCTCTGGAGGAGCGTAGTCTCTGGAGGGGCTTGGTCTCAGGCTGCAGGCGGGCGGAAGGAGCTGTGGGTTGATCTGTTCTCAACATTGGAGCTCCAACCACGGAAAGCCTTTGTTATTCCTCTGAGCCTGGCTCAAGAAAGTCATTGCCATGACTCCGCGTGCATTAGGGTCCGTGCTCACAGCAACAAGACACTTCACTCGAGACTGCGTCTGATCCTTACAATAGTGTATCTGTGTTGTGTGGCAAACAACAGGCAAAGCTTGAGTAGTACAAGATCGGGGGTTGGAGAGCTGGCACAAGGGTTAAGTGTACTTGTTGATCCTGGAGAGCAGTGTTTTTCAGCCTCCTGACGCTGCGACCCTTTAATACAACTCCCAACCATAAAATTATTGTCCCTACTTCATAACTATAATTTTACTACTGTTATGAATCATAACGTAAATATCTGTGTTTTCCAATGATTTTAGGCGACATGTGGAAGTGTCTCTGTCGTGATGGCTCTGATGAGCATTTGCCTCTGACCAGATGTGTGGTGACACCCAGGACATGAGAGTTCACAGACTCGACAGGAACCTAAAGAGATCGGGGGAACACAAGGCCATGACACAGTACTTCAGCTGACACCTCTTTATTATAATGAACATGCAGAAAATCTTTCAATTAAGGAGGGTAAAAAAATCTTGGTGATCTACTATCTTTTTTGATATAGCATTTAAAAAATCTTAGTAGCCACAAACCATAATTAATATCAAACAACTCATATCTTTTAATTTTGTTGGCATGTTATTTCCAAATTCTTTTTTTAATTTTTTTATTTATTATGTATACAATACTCTGTCTGCATGTATGCCTGTGGGTCAGAAGAAGAAGACACCAGATCTCACTATAGATAATTGTGAGCCACCATGTGGTTGCTGGGACTTGAACTCAGGACCTATGGAAGAGCAGCCAGTGCTCTTAACCTCTGAGTCATCTCTCCAGCCCTCAGTTCGATTTTTATCTGAGAATTTCCAATGTTTTCATGGTCTTCAAAGTCTTTAACTCTAACAGTCTGAATAAAGTAGCAGAATAGGCATGGGGTAGGGAGTTAGGGCACTGGAATGTGACAGCTTAAACTAAGAAGGCACTTTGTGATAGCTGTAATACTGTCTAAATACACGTGATGCAAGCGTCAGAAGACACTCTGGGAGTCAGGCTGTGAGGAGAGGTTTCCCTCTTCTCCATTCAATACAATGGGATATATAGGGTATACATGGGTATACGGCATGAGCAATGGGAACAAAGCCCGAGGCCTATCAAAGGCATCTCTCATTGCTATTGTCACTTCCTCTGAGGCCAACTGCAGTTACTAGCTGT